AGTGCAGATAGCCCTTGTGTAGCTTTGCATGAAATTCAAACCAAATCTGACAGAAATAAAAATGTACCTATTTATATCTTTTCCTCTAGTGTAGGAAGTAAAACTGGTTAGGTTCTCCACCTTTATGAATCCACCCAAACATAATCCAAATGCAATTGAAGCATGTCAGTAACTTTTTTCTAGGTACGAGATTATTAACAGGGCTTTTTTCAGTTTTAATGATCCAAATTAAAAAACTAACAACGTAGGGCTTCTATCATAATAATGCTGCTGCATCCACGAAAGACCTTTCTAGCTATATTCTACATTTCAGAGTGAATACCTAACAGCAGCCCAGCGCTGTTACAAAATGCATATATATGACAAGTCATTTCCAGTACTTAAAATTTCACACAAGGACTATTTCTACAGTCATCCCTGCATCAGAATATCTTTGAAATGAAATGAAACTGTAATTTGGGTGAAACACAGGGTCCAATGAACTGTCTCTTCTAATGTAAGTCATACTGCCAATTTGTTTTATAGAGGCAGACCACAGACATACATATAGTATTGTATTAGTCCTGTCAAAATAATACCATTGATTTTGTTGGCAAAGTTGAGGATTTTTGGCATTGATTCTGTGAATGAAACTAATAAGTATTAAACCTCAAAATCTCTCAAAATTAAAAAAATCAGAAGAAATGATAAGAGTTCGATTTCGCTTACAAACATTTCTTGTTTACAACGGTTATAAATTTCAATCATATTCAAGCAAAATGTGCGCAAACCAGGTGACTTTTTAATGTTGTTTAGAACTATAAAGCTGCCTAACATGAAGTGAGAGCATATAGCTAACTAATCCTTTTACTAACATTTGTTTGTATAAGTTGAATCAGCAAACAATCTCGCCTTTTATATAAAGCTATTTTGCATTAGGAAACATTTATTCATTTATACATCACTTAGAAAAGCCTCTCCCCCAATTGAAATTGCACCCCCAAAAAAACCACGACAAGAAATTGCATTTTTCCCCATTTCACCCGAATGCCGTTTTATGTTACAAAATTGCAAATTCCTTTACCCAAGGCATCCTGACTAGCTTTGTCAGTTTCCTGTGAGTCATTGATGGTGTCTTTCTTTCTCTCTCTCTCTTGATAAGGATCGAGCAGTCTTCTAGGAAATGTGGGTTTTGTCAAGTGAAGTAGTCTCATCCAGCATCATATTTGTCAGATCTATTGTAAATCACGGCCTTCTCACGTCAATTTCTGTATGGAGATGCTTGCAGGCTATATCACATCAAATCTGTTACTTGACTCACTCTCTGGCCTCGCACTGTCGACGAGTCTTCCAGTATGGTATGTGAATTATGCCCAACAACTTCATCTCCAATTATTTACACCATCTGGTGGTTTCATATCTCTCAGGATATTGCCTCCCTTCAGTCTATTCACCATCTTTCATGGATAAGTGCCTCTTATTTCCTTACCTGTTTATAATGTACTCCCATTCACTTCTTGGAACCCACCAGGTGCCTGGTGTTGTCTCACAGGGTATACTTACTTTGAGTCAGGGGTAAGAGAAAAAGCTTAACTCATCTGTCCTGGCTCCTATAGTGCCCACTGTTTAGAGGGTGTTTTCCTCAAAACCACTTTGGTGGTATATATATTATTGTCCATTTCAGACCATACCATCCATGATTATCATGGAAAAAGCCAGCACCAATGGAGTGTCTGCCCACTTCTCTAGTTCCTTAATACTGGCTTTACATATTAAGTTTATCACAGTAACTCATTGCACTTTCTCTAGTAAATTACTTTTTTGGTCGTTAGGCCTGACTGGATATGGGGACCACTGGTGTTTCCACAATATGAATCCCCTCCCCCTAGTTGCACAGTGGAGCACGAGGGGCCTTTGCCACTACCAATTGCTATTCACTGGGATGGTCAACTTGGAGGTTTCTTCACACATCGTGTGATCCCTTTGGAAAGTCCAAATGGGCAGGACCATGCATTGGGAAGTAGTGAAGGGGTGTTCATGAAGGTCACCTCCTATTATATAATATGCCAATTTCCAAGTGGTTTGGCCAGCTAGATAGAGCAAAATGTTCTCCTCATGAGATGAGAAGGGACCTAATTCCTGTTCCTATATATAGGGTGAGTCAATTGTAGAACAGAACACATACCAAACCATAAAGTTTGATCTTTGCCCTTACCACACTATACCTAATGTCCAATCAACTTGTTGTGGGCAAATGCTTGGTTGGTCATGTCTTTTCCTACCCATTTCTGCAACACAAAGGCTCATTTTGTCTTCCTCCTTTCATACTTTCATCCAGGTGAAAAGTATATTGTTACGACAGCAGAAGTCACGCGACGCTGGGAGCATGCACGCTGGATTTTCTAGAAAGATCATGAATTATCGAGGAACTCTGCGAATGTCCTAGTGTTTTCCAAGCGCCCTCTTTCTTAGTATATAAGCCTGGCGAGAAAAACCAGCACGAGAAATAGATTGAAGATAGAAATAATTGAGTCAAGCGAACAGTAGGTACCATAAGTAAAGTGTGTGAATCACTGCGATTTATAGCATGTGTTATAAAGGTTGTTAAATTTAAAGTGAATATGGAAATTCTGTGTATTACAAAAAGTTGTATTGAGAAAGAATAAATTAGTTTTAATCAAGAAGGGACTTGTATCACTGAAGTTTCTCGGAAAGAATTTATACCGGAAATTAACAAACAAGCAGATAGTAACAATATATTGTATGAGATGGATGCAGTCTTCCACAAGTATGACCTCTCTAGTACGTCCCCACTATAGGGTGTCACACTCCATGGGCTTTAACTTTTCTCTGAAAGGAACTCATCTAGGTTTTTACAATTGCACTGACCCTTCCATCATATCAATGTGAGATTCTAGCTATTTTGAGAAGAGGTAAACCTATCCTTTTGGAGGTTAATATTTTCCTTACCTGAAAATATATTTCTTATAGTTACTTAATTCTCTGCACACCTTTCCCCCTACTACTGACTCACATTATCCTTGTCTCATCTAAGAATGAAGTTAATTTCTAGTACAAGTGCTTATGTGGATCTAAAGCACATTGGATGACGTATTGCTCTCCTACTAATGGAGGGCTATTGCCACAAGATGATTACATCATTCATTAGAACAGTTCATGTTAGAACACGTCTTAGGTGAGAGATAGTTCAAGGCTAGTGACATGCACAAAATCTCTAAGGCAGACGGTTGAGAAATGGCTACTATGTAAGGTAAGGAAATTAGATTAGAAAATTGAAAAAACAGACAACTATTTTACCTTTCTATTCATCGTTTTCTTAAAAAGTTTATATACCAGTTTAATATTATTGAAATCAAATTAGAATTGTTTGTCTACTATCACTACAATGTACTATTAACTTTAAAAATGTTTTGAGTTATAACTAAACTTTAATATTTTGATAATTAATATTCATAGTAAAATGATACCTTACTATAGAAATATACACCAAAATATTTACTTAAATGTTTCAACATAGATACTTAATATTTATTAAGCTATATGCCAAAGTTATGGTAACGCATAACTAATCTAGAAAATAACTGGCAATTCAGATTTAAACCAAATATCTCAACAAACACTTCTTTCAATAGAGTTTGCAAGCTTAAAGTAGTGTTACTTTATTCAACTTCCATGAAAGACTATTTGTATTCACTAGCTTTATGCATCCTATATATTGTTACGCCTCTGGTCGTTTGTTAATTTTCCGTAGAAATTCTTTCCGAAAAACTTCAGCAATACACGTCCTTTCTTAAATAAAACTAGTTTATTCTTTCTCAATTTAACTTTGCAATACACTTAATTTCCACAGCCAATTTAAACTTAATTAATTTTACAAAAACACTTTATAATTCACAATGATTCACGCACTTACTTACGGTCACTACCGCGCTTGACTCAACTGTCTGTCTTTATCTCTGCCTGTCTGCAATTCAATTCCGATTAATTTGTCTCACGTTATCATGCGCACTTATATACAGGAATAGAGGGCGCCTAGCACATACTGGATTATTCGTGATGTTCCCCGATCCTTTTAGAATATCATGACTTGTTACCAGTCACGTGACTACCGCTGTCGTAACAATATTCATAGCTGCCTAACACACACAGAAACCGGGGTTTGAAATTTGCATTGTTTAGTTGGCCCAGTTAGCAGACTCAACTAGAATAGAGAAAAAAAATCAAATTGGTCCAATAAGGCTGAACAGAATTCTAAACATTACTTCCATTTTACCTTGTCATGAAATGTGAATCTCTATACTCTTTTCTTAAAACCATAGTTGTGTTTTTGTTTCATGAAAGTATCTTCATTACTTCAATCTCCAATGGAACCTTTGGCTATCTGGAGATCCCTGGCCCATTTTTAAACATGGGAAATTACTATGATGTCTCAAATGAAAAGGAGGTTCCTGGAACACGTGAAGGGTGGGATCAATACAAAGAAAGTGTGACAAATATTTTGATCTCAATGGAGAAATATCTTACCTTTTGCTCAGTATTAAAATATTAATCTCGAATAACATTATTTTTTGAATTTATCTGGATTAATATAAATAATATGTAAATTCCAAGTGATCTAATTAAAAACGTGGTTTTCAAGTTTTGTCTAATGTTACACATATATGCATATACGTATTTGCAATTGTGTCCTTCTTTAAAAATCACATCTGCAATTGATAAAATGGAATTAACATATATTTGTTCCTTAGTATGAAAATCATTATTCCTCACACATAGCCATGCAGCTGGTGCAACAAACAAATTAGAATTATCAACTTAATTACAACAGCCAATGATTTTCTAAATAATAGTTTCTAATCAAGCAAATTTAACTTAGTCTCTTTGCAAAAGAAATAAGTTACAAAATTTGGCAACAAATTCTGGCACTAGATTAGTGAGTAAGAATCCAGAAATCCAATTTAAAAGAAAACAACTCATATAATGTTGAGCATCACAATTTCTTAATGCAAACATTTTATTTGGTCTTGCAAACAGCATGATACATCACACACAGCTTAGAAATAGCCATCATTTTAAATTGAAACTTTTGCAGCTATGCAAGCACATCCTACAGAATAATTTCTTAAACTGTGGATCCAAAGTAGTATAGCAAATCCAAGTTATATAACCAAAGTAAGTTTGATATGTAAACGACTAGAAATTTTTAAAGTTTAGAGAAGGATATGCAAGAACTTGTTCTGACAAAATCAAAACTATTTTTTTATGAATGTCCAACCCCAATTGATACTACAAAAATTAAATTTCTTTTGAAAATATTTATCTTACTTTACATTAGAAACTTTAAAGTAAAGTGAAGTTGAAATGCTGTAATTATTTTCCCAAGACAGAACTGAAGCAATGTCTGAGAAAGTGCTAATTTTCCTTAAAATTACATTCAATACTAGGTTTCATCAGAACTACTAAAAGTATTATATTACCCTAATCATCCAACTAGTCCTATTGACTAAAAGGGAAACAAGGTACATTTCCAACATCCTTGCCTCGGTGTTATGAATGGATATACAATGCCACATTAACAAGTACATAGCTAAATCTACCCACACTCACACAAGTCTTTATATAACAAGGCAATGATGTAAATTAAGTATTTGAACCAGCATATGGGGATACTCTCTCCTCTGGCTAATCCAATCAATTTTATTTCCCAAGCAAATATTCATTACTCCTTAGCTTCTTGTAAATATAAAGATACAGGTTGCAGAAAATTTAATCACGTACACGTATGAATACCACACTGTCTACAGATAGAAAAGTGTAAAAGTATCAAATGTTAGTAGTTTATAGAAAATATAATTATACAGTAAAATACAAATCATATTTAAATTAACCTTGATGCTAGCACCTTTAGACTAAAATTAACTTTATCAAATTTTCAATACATTTTCATTGATTATTAATTGCTATAAAAAGGGTAGTACACAGCACAAAATCAGTAGATGACAACATCATAGTGGCACTGAAGTACCAGTGGTATATGGAGTGTATAGTCACTATTAAAAACACAAGCATTAATATTTTAAAATGCCTTGCAAAATATACTATCACAAAAGTTTAATCTGTGATTTCGATAAACAAAATTTGCTTGAACTGCTAAAATTGTTTAATCTTTGAATAAAACATATATCCAACCAACTTGTTTTATTCAGCAACATGTGAATAATGATTTCAGCAGTATATTTCATATATTATACTTTCACCACTGCTAAAAAAAAAAAAACCTTTCACTAACTAAATGCCAAAAGGAATGTTAAAATGAAAACTTATTCGAAACTTTATAATGTTATTACAATCCTATCAATTGTTACAGGTCTAGAATACTTGCAATACATTGTCATCCTGTCATTTGCTACTGAAGAAAGATATTACAGCAATACCATCCCATAAATTGGAACTGTTATTAGCATTCCATTAAACTGTAGTTGTCACTTCTTACATTATAACTGTGATCTTGTCAACTATTACTTGCCTAAAAATATTGTTACTGGGATTTTTATTTTATCAGCAATAATCTAAAAATTACATTATAATCAATCATTACTGATATATAAGTTACATAATTGTAATTCTATTAGTTGCTACTGATCAATAAAAATAAGTACATTACTCTTAAGCTATATTTTATTAGTATCACTCAGTTCCTCCATTAAAATAGATTTAAGAATAAACAAGAAATTTATCTCTAACAATAACACTTAGTACTTGCTCCAAGTTCTATTAGTATTATGGCTAATCAAAGAAATATTTAAAAAGTTAGTTTAACTTAATGGCTGTTATTCCATTTAGTTATGCAAGGTTTTATTAACAAAATTGGTCTGGATATACCTTTTACTTTTTTTTGCAGAATTTATTATTTTCTAAACTTATAATAAAGAACTGTTTCAAAAATATCCAAAAACTAAATTTAAGTAATTCATACAATTATCACAATATTTATAAAGTTTTAAAATTCAGGCAACTATTACATTAAAGCAAAACTTCAAACATATAATTCATATTAGCATAAACACTGAAGTTACACATAAACACATTTGTAGTGTTGTTTTTTTTTCTAAATTGAGACACCAAGACAGATCAATGGTAGTTTGTTCTACCAAGTAAGAAAGGCCGATTTTACATCAGAGAAGTACACTCTTAAGTGACCTGACAGAATATGTGAAAAGTTATGACTGTTGGGTTCCCTCATCAACCAGAGACTTCAACAGCTGCTCTTTTTCTTCACCTACACACACAACAAGATGTTCATGTTCTAAAGATTCAGGCTCAGCTCTGACTTCTAAATCTGAATGACCATCCTTTTGACTTGTTACTTCTGACAGAGATTGCCTTACGGGAACTAAATCAGCTGAAGAAACAGTATCGTCAGGGGAAATGCCTTGAATATCTGCATTAGTTCTGTTCTCACATGCTTCTGGTTGAGTTATGGAATAGTCTGTTGTGGATGAAATACAATAATGGGCTGATGAAGGCTTTTGTGTATTGTAAGCAGCACTCTGAGCTTCAACCACAGTCTCATGTTCATCAGGGATAGAGTTTTTATTTGTTGGCATTAGTACTTTTGTTTCTTCACTGGAAATATCTTTTTTCACAGTACTCTTTTTTTGTTTGGTGTCTAGCTTTGGTGACCGAATGCCTTCACGGTCCTTGTTATTAGAATTCTTGACCTTAGGAGCATTACTTATATTTCTAGGAGTTGGCTGATTCTGATGTTTTTTAGCAATTGCTGGGCTGCCTGAAGTTTTCTTTAAAACAGCATAATGATCTGCAGGTTTAGACTTTTGTGAGCATGCTGTGAGTTCAGAAACTGCCAACTTTTTTTTTGTGGGTTCAGTATTCAGTTTGTCATCTGATTTTGTGCTACTTGGTGTTGGTTTGAGATTTTTTGCTGTGCCTGAAGAAGGTTCAGTCTTCTGTTTATTAACTGATTTGTGCTACTTGGTGTTGGTTTGAGATTTTTTGCTGTGCCAGAAGAAGGTTCAGTCTTCTGTTTATCAACTGATTTCGTGCTACTTGGTGTTGGTTTGAGATTTTTTGCTGTGCCAGAAGAAGGTTCAGTCTTCTGTTTATCAACTGATTTTGTGCTACTTGGTGTTGGTTTGAGATTTTTTGCTGTGCCTGAAGAAGGTTCAGTCTTCTGTTTGTCAAGTGATTTTGTGGAACTTAATGTTGGTTTGAGATTTTTTACTGTGCCTAAAGCAGGTTTAGGACTCCTGTTCTGTACTGTAGTTTCATTTTTCTTACCTACCACACCAGAAGAATCTTTCTTGGCAGATGTTTTTGCAGATGAATGAGAGGAACTAACTTTAACTTGTGGTGGTGAGCTGCTTTTTTCAGGTTTTACAGAACTGCTCCCAACTTCTTGAGAACTCACCTCTTTGCCAGATTTTGGTGTTGTAGTACTGTCAGTAGCTTTTGCGGATTTCAATTTTTGAGTTATGGGTGATGAACTACTAGATACCTTAGCAGAGGATACAGTTCGAGTACTTTGATTGACAGATGTGTTCTTAGAAGATAAAGGCCTTGATAGTTTATTCAAAGAAGTACAAGATGTTGTGGTGATTTTTCCAGTAGATTCAGTTTTAGCTTCAGCAGAGACCTGTTTTGAGGAAGATCTGACTGTTACGTTATTAGGTTTTCCAGTTTTCAGATTAGTAGATGAAGTTACTGGTGATTTTTTCAGTGATGACGTTTCTGATGTTGATTTTGTTTGTTTACTAACTGTTTTTATTACTTTACTTGATAGTTCTTTTTTCTCATGTTGGTTTCTTAGACTTTTTCCAGCAACAGGTTTCCTTTCCTTCTTATCTCCTTCCTGCTGATTTTGTTTAGTCTTTGATGTTGAACTTAGTTTTATATTCCTTGATGTTTCAGATTTTATTGAGCTTGCTTTTGAGGGTGAACCCTTAAGAGAAACTTTTGTATGTTTGATTGCTTGAGTATCAGACTTATCATCTCCTTGGATATATTTCCATTCACTATCTTTTTCAAAATCAGAGTCTTCTGCAGATGGTAAAACTTCACCTAATGAGGTAGCATTTGCAGAAGCTTGATTATTTATATCACTTATTTCATTATCACTTTTCACTATATTGTGCAACATGAAATTTTCAGCACAGGGCTCACAATTTTGTTGTATTCCTTCAACTATTGTTTCTTTCTCTGTTTCTTTATCTTCCTTGTATATACAAGTTTCAATTGATTCTGTGTCTTTAACAGGAATTTCAGCAAATTCATTTTGCATGTTTGGTGACTCAGGTGCTTCTGTGAACAAAATGGGCTCATCAGTTGACTCTTTTGATTCTTCCAGGTTCTTAGTTATTTCTGTGGATAAATTGGGCACATCACCTGAATCTTTTAAATCATCTAACTTCTCAACTGTTTCTGTGGTTATAATTGTTTCATTAGTTGAATCTTCTGGTTCATCTATCATGTTCATTTTCCCTGTAGTCAAACTGGGTTCTTCAATCGCTTCCTTTGGTTTATCTAGCTTCTCAACTGTTTCTGTGGTTATAACTGTTTCATTAGTTGAATCTTCTGGTTCATCTATCATGTTCATTTTCCCTGTAGTCAAACTGGGTTCTTCAATCGCTTCCTTTGGTTTATCTAGCTTCTCAACTGTTTGTGTGGTTATAATTGTTTCATTGGTTGACTCTTCTGGTTCATCTAACATATTCATTGTTTCTGTAGTCAAACCATGTTCTTCATCCAACTCCTTTGGTTTATCTAGCTTCTCATCTATTTGTGTGGTTATAACTGTTTCATTAGTTGACTCTTCTGGTTCACCTAACATATGCACTGTTTCTGTAGTCAAACCATGTTCTTCAACTGACTCCTTTGGTTTATCTAGCTTCTCAATTGTTTGTGTAGTTATAATTGTTTCATTGGTTGACTCTTCTGGTTCATCTAACATATTCATTGTTCCTGTAGTCAAACTTTGTTCTTCAATCAATTCCTTTGGTTTATCTAGCTTCTCAATTGTTTGTGTGGTTATAAGTGTTTCATTGGTTGACTCTTCTGGTTCACCTAACATATTCACTGTTTCTGTAGTTAAACTGCATTCTTCAATTGATTCCTTTGGTTTATCTAGCTTCTCAATTGTTTGTGTGGTTATAAGTGTTTCATTGGTTGACTCTTCTGGTTCACCTAACATATTCACTGTTTCTGTAGTTAAACTGCATTCTTCAATTGATTCCTTTGGTTTATCTAGCTTCTCAATTGTTTGTGTGGTTATAAGTGTTTCATTGGTTGACTCTTCTGGTTCACCTAACATATTTACTGTTTCTGTAGTCAAACTGCATTCTTCAATTGATTCATTTGGTTCATCTAGCTTCTCAACTGTTTGTCTGGTTATAGTTGTTTCATTAGTTGACTCTTCTGGTTCACCGAAAATATTCATAGTTTCTGTAGTCAAACTGGGTTCTTCAACTGACTCCTTTGGTTTATCTAGTTTCTCAACTGTATCCATCAATAAACTGGGCTCATTATATGACTCTTTTAGTTTTTCCAAGTTCTCAACTATTTCTGTGGATAAACTTGGTTCATCAACAAACTTCTTTGGCTTGCCTAGCTTTTCATCATTTTCTGTGGTTATAAATGTTTCATTAAATGGCCTTTTTGATTCATCCAGCATTTTCACTGTTTCTGTCAATAAATTGGGCTCTTCAACTGACTCTTTTAGCTCATACACATTCTCAACTGTTTTTGTTAATAAATTAGAATTATAAATTGACTGATTGCATCTATCTAGCTTATCATCTGTTTCTGTGGATGCACTGGGATTATTAACAGATTCCTTTTGTTTATCTAGCGTTTCAACCAATTCATTAATTGACTCTTTTGGCTTATCAAGCATCTTCAGCGTTTCTAAAGTCAAACTGGACCCTTCAGCTAACTCTTCCAGCTCACCATCCGACTCTTTTGGTTCATATAGCTTTTCAACTGTTTCTATAGACAAGTTACGGTCATCATCTGATCCTTTTAGTTCATGTAGCTTCTCAACTGTTTCTTTTGATAAACTGGAATCATTAACTGACTGTTTTAGTTCATCTAGCTTAGCTGTTTCTGTAGTATTAAATGTTTCATTAACTGACTTTTTTGAAACATCTACCTTCTTCATTGCTTCTGTAATTACACTAGGCTCTTCAACTGATTCCTGTAGTTTACCAAGCTTCTCATCTATGCTTATGGTTAAACAGTACTCATCCACTGGCTCCTCTTGCTTCTGAACTGCTTCTGCAAAAAAACTGGGCACATCTACTGATATCTTTGGTTCACTGAGCTTCTCATCAATTTCTGTAGTTAAAATGAACTTATTATTTAACACTTGTAGTTCATCAGACTTCTCAACTTCTTGTGCAGATGAAATGGGCTCATTAAAATAGTCTTTTGTTTTATCTAGCTGTTCATATGTTTCTGTGTTTAAACCCAAATGACCTGCTATATCCTCTAAAGTATCTAACTTTTCATGAGTATCTTCAGATAAACTAAACACATTTGTTGATTCCTTTCTTTTGTCTATCATCTCACTTTCTATAAGTATAGGATAAATACCAACAGATTCTTGTTCCACATTTGGTATTGCATCTTCTGCAAAAATGCCACTCAAACCTGTAGATTTTTCAAGTAGTTTTTCTTGTTCTGATGTTACCATAGAAGACTGAAATTCAAGTATATTTTCATTTTCTGAAAGTTCTTTACCTTTAGTTGTTTCACATGAGGCAAACAAGGATGTATCATTACTGCCTGGCTTTGTTGTATTGGGCAGTACAGTTTTTTGAGAAGCATCCAAAACATTATGACACAAATTTTCTACAATAAATTCACGGTCTGCACAAGGCACTTGCTGGTCTCCACCTTTCAAACAGTTTACAGAATCAGTTGATGAGGCTTGGATTTCCTGAGCAGAGACATGAACCACTTTAAATTCATTAAAAATTTCATCAGCAAGATTTGAGACTGACAATGCCTCAACTTCATTATCTTTCACATTATCAAAAATCTCTCTCAACTCACCTGCATTTTCATTAAGTACACTTGTGCTATGTGACATGTTTTCCACTGGAAAGTCATCATCTTTGCTATCAACATCAAAATTTCTAACATTTTTCAGAGCTTGCACAGTCTGTATTTTTCTATTTCTATCATTTTCTACTTCTGATATTTCAGAAGAGGATAAGTGCAAACTGCTCTTTGACAGAATAGCTTTTTTACAGGAATTCAAAATGTTACCTTCAGAGTTATCTTGTCCAGTAAAAGAGTCAATAGATAAATCTAGCTCATTATTTGATGTTAAATCAGATGACAGAGTGTCATCAATTTTAACTGATGTTGATTCCTGACCTACAACCACTGTACAAGGCACAAGGTCCAAAGTGGTCTGATGGGAAAACTGGTAAGAAAGTAATGTGGCATCTTTACTTTTTAAATTTTCAGCTGGTTCATATTCATGTTTTTCAAAAGCATCATCAGCACTTAAAGCTACATCTTCTTTATCTGGAAGTCTAGTGTTTTCATTCCAACTGCCAGGTTTATGTTTCTCAGCCTGTTCTGGCAATGGCACATCAACACCAATTTCCATGGTTAGATCAGAATCACAAGTGTGAGATGAACCCAGTCTGTCAGATAATGTACCATTTTCTTCAAATCCATTTGTTCCATTTACGATGTGCATTGGTTTATGTTCACATTTTCTTTTTTCATGAATATCAACAGAATAACTTAGCCCTTCATGATTACCTTTACCATTACAAGTATTTATGAAGGAACTCTGAGAAACAGAAAATACTTCAGAAGGAAAAGTTGGGGCAGCTAAGTTATGCGGTTCTCTTAGAAATGTTACAACAACAGTTATATTATCATTGGAGCCTTTCTCTTTAGCTTGATGAACAAGTTGAGAAGCCACAGCATCAGCATTGTCAGGGTTTTCTTTGACATAGCTATAAACCAAAGCAGCAACATCATAAAGAGATAGCTTATCCCACAGACCATCACATGCCAACACCAGAAAATCTTCTGTTCCGTCAAGTGACAACGTTTTTATGTCAGGCTCACAACTTATATATGGCTTGTGCTCAAAATCCCCTAAAAAAAATCCACTTGTTAGTTTTTATTATAGATATAGTTTATTAACAGAATTTTCAAACAAGGTGATCAGCTTGGTGAAATAAAATAATGAATGAAACATTGAGACATGTTTCTTAGTTTACAGATTATTATTGTTAGGAAGGAACTATATATTTCACTTTTGTAAACTGTATTACAAAAACAAGTATTTTTTTTTATATCAACAGTTCAATAATCTTGTACTTACCTAGTGCTCTAGAGACAGCCAATGTTCCACTGACTCTCCAAGTACCAACATACAAAACACAGCCACCATCATTTTCAATCCGTGTCCTTTCATCCTAAAAAGAAGAAGTTCCATAGATTATGCACATACTGAACCTTCACCCTTAGACCTCATGCCACCAAAAATACTCCATTATTATAACAGTGTCATAACTTGACAGCTAAGAGATAAAAAATAATATAAGCATTGTTATGTTGACTTTAGGTTCTTAAGTCACTAATAGGTTAAACTACACATTAAGATTCACATCTATGTAGTTATTTTTGCAATTTTTAATTTAAGGAATAGAGAATTGACAATTATATGAAATGCTAAATCAACCAGCCATTTTTGGAGCTTCATCTGGTACTTTTGCTAATAACACATAAGATAACAGTTGTTTCTTAATTATTTTAAAGGAAGATTGGCACCATTGATTAAAATATTAGAAGACTAAAAATGGCCCATGAGTCAAATGCTTTTAAAGAGTGGTCTCTCTCTCTCTCTCTCTTTATCAGAAGTTTCAGATGAAGAAAAGAACATTCTTTGAAACTGCTCAAATTTATGGATAAATTTATTTTTCTCTCTCTTTTTCTTTTCACACACTTCTTGAATATAATTTTGAAAAATATTAAAAACTTTCATTTTCAGAAATAATTATATCTTCTGATTTTTTTACAGTGTTTTTTAACCTTCTTAAAGTTTAAAATAATAACACTTAAAAAAAAGATTGTATCGTACATCCCTCTACACACATTACATGAATAAGTACTATATACATTTAAGCACTGAGTTTTTACCTCTCTATCAGGCTTGTGAGGAGATACTATGCCTAGTGGTTCTCCCTGGCGCACGAGAATAGCTTGCGAGTCTCCAAGCCAGGCCAAATACAGTGTTCTCTCCCGAATCAAGCAGCAAACTACAGTACATCCACTTTTAATTCCCTAAAAAAGACAATAATTTTACTATAAGCACAAAGAAAAAAACAATACACCAACTCTCACTTGATGCCAAGAAGAAAGCAATATGTTGATACTGTATAGGAAACAGTCACAGACACACATGGTCTGGAAGCTCATTTACAGTGTCAAATTCAAAATATCTGTAAATGATATAGTTTTCTTTTAAAGTTATGAAACATGCATGTTAAAACACACCAGTTTTACAACATGAGGACAAAAAGTCAATAACAAAAATACCGAAACAAACAGATAAGCATATCAATTCAGTTTAACATTGTTTTATTACTTCTGAACATTTGTATCTCACTTTCAGCCAATTCAAGAAGGTTTTCTGTAAACAACAGAAGAATAGAAGACTGAGTGGTCTGAACTTTAAACAAAAATTTCAGTTCAGGAGAGAAGTCTGACTGTGTGCAAAAAAAGGAGTTGTTCACAGAAGATAAGGAATTATATGTTGGACATACTATAAATCCTCTTATAGTTATATCAGTCATTAGCATTGTGGCTAATTTATGACCTTCTGTACAAGAAAGGCTATGGCTAGTGTTAGTATAGTTTTCCACTGTGCAACAAGGTTTACATCAAGTGTTAGTATAGTTTTTCCATTTATGACTCGCTGCACAACAAGGGTTACATCTAGTGTTAGTATAGCTTTTAAGCCATGATAATAAAAAATAATTTTTTCTAATGAATGCATATAACCTTTAAAACTGTTTAAATTCTACAAGCTTGTTGTTCTTTAAATGTTCCTTTAGCCTTACATTCATACACCAATATCACAGTTAAGTAACAGTTGTACACTTGCTTCTTTTTTTTTAGTAGACATGGAAAACAAACTGCAACATCACAAACTAAATTCAAAATAGCTTTATAAAATTAAGCCCTTCAGAATCAAAGAAAGATTTAAGTAAATATATTAATATTCAATGAAACTTTAAGAGTCTGATACTTTTTAAAATGTTTCTGGAAGTATATTGTTAGATATACACGACTGTTTCAATTTAAGTTTAATGTAAGTGATATGATTTAGATAGTTTATCACAGGTTTCCTTATGTAACTGTTTACAAATCATATGTTGTGTAGTTCAATAGTTATGAATTGGTGATTGTTATGTTATTGCATCATGCTACTAGAACCTTCCGAGTTTTTCTCATTGTTTTAATTGAGTATTATCAAATCATAATATCTAGTAGTGTGTGGAACGTTCTAGACCTCTGTCGGGGTATAAATACTCATACAAAGTATAGTTCGAAAGATATATCTAGAGTTCGTGATTGTGCATTTAGCCTTAAAGAGCATAGAGTGGCAATTTTGAAGTGAAATTATCACAGACTGTATTTTTATAACAGCGTAGAAAAGAATAATTTGTCTTGTCAATCATGTTCTAAAGTAATTGAACCAGCCTGTGTAGACTTTCATAAAAAAAAATATATTTAATTGCTCTGGAAACTGTGGTAATCAACAGTTATAGTGGTGATTTTAAAGTGAAATTATCACAGACTGTATTGTAATAACAGAACAGGAAAAATAATTCATCTTGTCAAATTGTGTTCTAATGTAACTGTATGGACTTCAACAAAAGAGACAAATAATTATTTAAAGTTCTGGATACAACTGTGATAACTGATATAAATAGAAAAACACTATATAAATTGAGGTTAGATTCAGGTTAAAATTGGAAGAAACTGTCATGTGTGTGTGTGTGTTTGCTGTTCATTAATCCAGAACAGTATCTTATAGTGTACACTTTAAACAGTCATTTATTTATTTTTTTGAAAAATAAATTAAAGTACAGACAGTCATACTATTCCCAGCAGTAGTGTGGTAACTGCAATAGTGGCTCCCAGAACAGACATCGTACATGACAAACATATAGAAATCAACATTTTAATTGGTAAAATTTCATGTTTCAGTAGGAACTGCACAGGGAACATAAAACTAATGTTGTTTATCATAGAAGCGATCAGGGATTATCCATCAAATTCTTTAAATGGTGATATTAATAACTCAGAGTATGCCCTTTATATGATACAAGATTATCCATTAGTGATGTTTTCAATGAATTAGTTTTAAGTTCTCACGTTAGCACAAAATGGTTTCAATTGATGAGAAGCTCCCTCAAAACCACTGCTAGGAGACATAACCAAACCAAAAGGTTATCATGGGCAACAAACTTCAAACAATGGGATAAGCAAAGCTAAAAGATGGTACTCTTTACAGGAGAATATAAATTCAAATTGTTTGGCAACAACTGATGATAACTTGTTTGATGGCAGATAGAGAAATATCATGGCCAATGTACAATATCTACAGTGAAGTATGCTGGGGAACCAATACAAGTGTGGACTGCATCTCAGCCAATGATGTTGGAAAGCTACACAAAATCAGTGACACTTTGACGAATGAGAGGTAGAATTAAGCAGATTCTTATCCATCATGTCATTTCTTCAGGAACAAGACCTTTTGGTCAGAGTTTTGTCTTCCACCAAAACAATGAGTGATCAAGGGCACTTTGCAAGTATGGGGAAATAGTATCTGGAGGAAAAAGAGAGATGCAATACCCAAAACCATTGCTTATTAATTCTGTTTGGGCTTACAAGACAAACAGCAATCAAACAACTTGGCTGAATTTTAGGGTTAATACAGGAGATTTTGAACAATATTTCATAATCATACACCAATAAACTTATGGTAGAATAAAAACAAGGTGTACTGCTCTATTCAAAGCAAATAAAAAATATTAGCATACTGTAAATTATCTGCTTTTCTTTTGTATTTTCTGTACTAATGTATTGTATTAATGATAAATTGGCTATTTAGTTGCAATCTCTCATTGTTTGAGAATCCTGTAGGTGTGTTACTTGTGCATTTCCATAATTGTTTCCAACACTGTATGTTATGGCCGAATTTTGTTTTCATGCCACTCACAGCAAGAAAACTTTTCAACTTTTTGTAAAAAATTCTTTCCTCCTACTGACCAACAGAATGAGCTCTAGCATTCCAAATAGTGGTTTAGGGTTGTTTATTTAATTGCCCCCCCCCCCAAATTTGTATTGTGCAATGTGTAAAATGTATATTACAATGAATCAGAATGGAACATCATTTCATTAGGCATGATACTACAGTTAAATCTGGTCTTTATAAGCTTAAAGTGATTCACTTTGGAGCTTATGATAGTAACATCATCACAAAGTCTCAACTATACAATGATAAAATGTGACTTTCATGTAAAATGCTGTATCTTAACAGTGTTTTAATTTCATTTTGTCTATTCAAAGGATGTTTGCAAAATGTAAAGTTAGTGACTCTGTTTTGTTTGTTTTTCATTTTTCTTACATTAATGACAACTCACAATGAAACACACCAATACACATTCCAAACTAAGACATATTCACATCAAAATAAACAAGTAATAATTGCAGAAACATAGATTTCTTTAATATGCAATGAGAAACCAAACTCACCTCCTTTCCTGATCTTTCTAAGAACTGTTGATCTGTTGTTCGGAATGCTTCTTTGATAGCTTTTTCTGTATCAGTATAGAAATCTGGATGCTGAACAAGGTTCAGATGGAGATGAGCTGCAGCATAACTTGCTGCCTCAATTCCAGCATGACCATCAAACACTGCATAGTAACTGTGCTGAGGACCTTCCTGTAAGAGCAAGTAATTTTATAAAATAACATTCAAAGAAAGTGTTGTATATGCCTGTACTTATTGTATTTAAAAACTTACTAACTATAGTGTAAGAAAGATAAATCTTCTTGTGTGCTCATCACTCCTGACACTTTCTGAAATTACTATAAAACCTTAAAATATTTTAAGAATTCATAAGCTATTCATGAGAATTTATGTAGTGTAAAAAGGATGAAATACTGACAGCCTCTCAAATACTCATAATTTTTTTTCTAATATGACTTATGTAAGGCAAAACAACAAAATTTAAATGTTCAAGTATATTCAATAACAAAAACAATGTTTGTTTAATTACACATAGCCTTAGAAGATAGCATTTCTTGTATTGATAAGTCTGTGATATACATGTACGACTTCAGCTTAAATATATTTGATTGTCAACAGTTGTACCTGAAGACCACACACAACATTTAAATCATGTAAGATGACGTGTCGGTCCTCCATTCTTCGGCGACCATTCTTGATGGCACAAAAAGAGACCGAGTACAAGGGGGGTCGAGGCCAATCAGCATTCATTGTTTCCTCCCTCAGATGGTCTTTCCAATAGAGAGAGAGTTCGTGAAGAAAACTGATCACTTGGGAGTAGAGTTGTACTGCATCTAACACTGTGGCAAAAAGCAGTGAATCATACAAGCAAAGATTAAAGTAAGGTTATTAATGGTTCTGGTTTTCAATAATGACAGTAACAATGAACAGAACAACATTTTAAAATCATGTTACATATATAAAAGTGAACTTTTTGCTGTAAACAATGTTTATCAATAACTTTGACACACAAAACAAGCTAATTTTTAACACCCAAGATAATCACATATTTTTAGTTAAGTTAGTAGCAGTAAAGCAAATACCATTTGAAAAATTCAATAAAAACTTGAAAATTATATAACTTTCATTCTTTGATTTATTGGTACAAGTAGCTAGACTTTTACTGAACATGTGATATTGGTTTTATTTTTGATTTACTAGAATGAGTTTTTATTGTACTTACAGGAGGTGTCTTCTTCATCCAATCCTTGCTCACTGGCAAGAGCAATGCTTCGTTGAGCTTCGCTGCTTACTTCTCTTGATACAGTGCTAGCTAGTACAACTGCCAGTTCATGAGGACACTTTCTGTTAAAATAATTGCATGAACATTAAAAATCTGGTTCTTGTTTTAAAAACAATCAGTTTTTTACCACAAAATTATCAAAAGCATTTAATTATTCAACAAATTACAGCTTATTGACGAGACATTATTAGTAAACAATTATTAAGAGTACCAATAAATAATTATTAAACATCTATCAATTATTGATACAACATAATACAAAGTCTTAGTTACTCGTATAAGAAAATACTACTAAACATTCACAGAACAGTAATACGTCACCTGTAAACATTCAAAGAATAATCTAATCCAGATTTTTATTTTGGTACACATGTCAGTTATGTATATGGCTTTGCAAAGGAGGAGGGTAGGCAATATGTAGAAAATAAAGCTGAATTTACACATAAATATTCTAACATTTTCCTATAATCAAAACATAAATATCCAAAACTTTGTCTACACCTTCAGCTATTTGGATAGTTAAAATTTCTTTCATACAGTATTTAACACAACCACATACTTGACTTGCAAAGCGTGATAGTAAACAAATCCAATCTGTCATTGTATGGGAGGAAAGATTTCTTTTACATGACACAGCTTTTCTTAGGTTCAATGCATAGTGAATACTCTAAGTTAAAATCCCAATTTCTGAATTTATTGATGTTAATGTATAAATAATTTCAATACAGTATTATTCTCTTCTCAAGATTAGTTAGTTAGTTATTAAGCACAAAGCTACACAATGGGCTGGGCTGTGTGTGTGTTGTGCCTACCACAAGTATCAAAACCTGATTTTAAGCATTATCAGCCCTCAAACTTACTAAAACTTTGACATATTTAAACATAAAATTTAGTATCAATTAAGGTATAAGAAAACCTGGACATTCTATCTATACTTCTAAATCTTATTGTAACAAATTACTAAAAAACAGTAAAAGCCATAAAAAAAAAGTACAGTTGAGCAGGAAAATACCCGAAAAAGATTTTATAGAAAAATAACAGGTAAAGAAAGATGGCTGAACAAATGAAAGAAGATTGATCATACAGATACATATGACAAAGATATGTAGGCAAAGAACACAAACAGAAAACTAATCTGTTATACATATTATTAGATATAAAAATATTAATGTACAGAAAAGTACAATGTACATGATGCATGGTTAGCTTTATAGAAACACAAAAGATGTGCTTAAATAGGAAAATTTATTTACTGATTAAATATTAATATACCAGTAGTGATACCAAGAGATAGTTATAAGTACTAGTAGTAGTACAGTGGTCGATTTGAGTAAAAATATAAAAATAAACAGAGATGCATGACATATACTCAGTATCACAGCCACGCTGTGTTAAGAAGAAACATAATATTTCCAATAGTACCAAACACACGCAACATCGATGTATTCCAAACAGTCTGTTTAGACTATCTTTTGACAAAACACAGATTTCCCGTTTAAATGGATGGTTGCTGCTAGCCAACTTACATATACGGCGCCAGTTAACAAGTTCTCTGCTCCAGTGCAGTTACTGGCAGATCCCGAGAAAGAGCAAAACCTATGACTCACCGTCGAAGGAATTTATCTGACCGATCAGAGGCTGTTGACGCCTACACTATCACACCACACTGAACAAACCACACTAGGTACCTTTCAGAAATGGAAAGGACCTTCTTCCTTCGTGTTGTATAGGGTAATAATGTTGAGACCAATTAAATCGGTATAAGTTTTTAAATACTGCATATTACCTACATGCTGTTAAAATAAAAACTGAGATAAATAAACACGTAACCACCATCTTCACAGTTTATAACCACCCGGCTAGATCACCGGCCTTATATATATATATATATATACCGCCAACGTGACGTCACATTACGACCTCGTCTACGCATGTGGCAGTGTAATAATTAATATGGCAATTTCAGTTTTCCAAAAGGTACCCAATTTTTTCCCGTCTGTGTAATTTTTCTACTGATACTCTCCTAAATCTGAAACAGTACGGACATTTATAGTGACAGTTCAATTTTTAATTTGGTTGAAAACTTCATTTCTTGTAATAAATTCTGTTTCAATTCGATCAAGTTAATAATTTTAGTTTCATGAGTTTTTTCGGTGTACACACTACTGACACCAGCGAAAGAATATGGTTCTGGTACTTATTCACTTATTTCAAAACAGCGCAGCCATCTCGTGAAAACATGAAGTATGTATAGAAAATTGTGTTTATAATTAAAGTGACACTAAGTCTAATATATAAGTGAATATATATATATATATATATATATATATGATTAGTGGTGCTTTGTATAATTCTCAGAACAGGACTAAGTCTAGTAGTAAATACATAACCCACGGACGGACATCAATTTTAAGAAAACAAGATGAGTGGATAAGTAACAGATATTTAAATAAATACATGCAAGAACTAACAGATGGAGTAATGGTTGACGAAGGTTGTACTACAATTCCCAAGAGACGTACATTTTCTCGCAGAATGCCCTTCGCACTACATTGACCATTACTGTAACAATGGCAATTAGTACAGTGGGGCCAAATCCTATTTAAAATATAGTCCATTCTCACTACGAAGCTTATCCATTAACCTATACTGCAATACAACTGTTATTGAACGATGTTCTCACCCAGTCTCTGAGGAACAGTAATCGACTGACAACAATTCATCTCTAATCCTCTACATATTATGTACACTTGGGTTACTGCAACATTGAACAAAATATACTGTATTATAAACTGTTCCTTGTAAAGCATTATTTAATGTCTTGCGTTATTCAACAACAATGAAACTATAGAGTATAGAGTCTATATCATAAACTATACTTTGAAAGATGTCACTTTTTATATAGTTCAACAATAGAGAAGCTATACAGGCTGTTCCTTATAAAGCTAGTAATAAAATAATTAGTAAGCGAGGAAATAACAAAATGCAAAATAGAATATAAGGTAGTGGTGAAAAACTCACAAACTTAAAATAATTTCATTAATAAAACAAAGTTAATTTTATTAATAACAAAATGTAAAATAGAATATTGTTACGCCTCCGTTCCTTAG